TTTCAAAGTTCAGAAAACTTGTGCAAACACAGGCAAAATTTCATCACCAGTTTCATTTCACCAATACTTCCAAGTGTTTCATACGAAGTTTAACATTCGTTTTCGACGTTTGATGTTGCTAGAAATGAGTTTTTTTGAGAAGATATTTAAACAATCGTACAGAAGTTTGCAATACAGTGTAAATAATCTTGGTACTAGGTTTGTCCACTTCTTACTCGAACTTCTGGTGGATCCCATCTTAATAGTTTCTTTTTACCTTCATTCGCTCCGTTCTGCTGCACTGAGACCCGTTCCAACAATGGATGGTCATTCCTTCGTCCAGAATAAACACATCTCCTTTGTTAAGTGAGGTGTAATGTAGTTCAACCTACGAGAGAAAATCAACTACGCATTGCATTGATGAACCCTTCATTGTCTCCGTGCCCTGAAAGCCTTAAATGTAATCTACAATGTCATCTGTTTCAAAATAGGAGGTTAAAGCATTGCTGGAAGACTCTGAAACAATTAGCGACGGGGGTGACGGAACTCCTTATTTCAGGGGTTGTTCAATTTTTAATTAACATTCGTGTTGCTTGGGCGAAATCTACTTTCTTCCCCATGCAACAAACATTGGCAATCATTTGCCAGAGAGACGTTGATACCGGTATAACATTGAAAAGGGGAATGAGGGAGCCAAAGAATCATCCGTAGATACATTTGAAGCAGTAGAGAGGGACAAAATTTGGTAAAGTGACGTTTTATACAGTGTCTCATCAACATTTGTCGCCGATTGTGTCCTATGAATCTCAATTTGACCGGAATGAACTCCAGTGCCTGAACCACTTGGTCGCGCATGCCTAACGATAGCGTGGATGGAAATAGATTACAACAAGGAGCGAGTTGACACTCGTCCACTAACCTGTGATACTCGCACGTTTCTTTTGCCCTTGACATGAAAAAGTCGCTTCTCGTACACGCCTCGCTGGACTTTTCTGAAGCCAGAATCTACACCACCTTCCAGGTATCTACAAGTGAAGTAATAAATTGTATTACATGTAATTAATTGGCCAGTCACCACGTGGTTATAACTTCAAAACCCTTCTGTAGAATTCGCGGGTCGTTATCGGAAACTTTAATCTCACAGTGTTTCACTCCACCCAGGCGTGCAAATGAGTACTGGCGAATAGACCATTTTATAGTTACCCCGTGCTTTTGTTTCAAAATGAGTCCTCGTGCAAAACCTTTCATGTGAAAATGAGTTTGATTCGCATGAAAAAGAACCTGCATGTAGAAGAAACACATTTTCATATGATTGGTTTTGCTCGAAGACTAGTTTTGACACAGAGGCCCACAGAGTAGTACAGGCAGCCCAAATACTATTTGGGCTGCTTGTACGACCTGTGCTAGCAATCCCCCATCAAGGGGAGAAGTTGCACTCCTATTCAACGCAATGGGCAACAGATACCGCAGTTTAGTACTGCACATTGATAAATATTGCTACTATAGTTAAACAGCGCACATACCTTATTCCTTTCGGAAAATAGTTCAAAAATTTCCTTGATTCGTGATCTTGAACCTTAGTGGAAAATTAAAGAAGCGAAAGTGATTTTAATACTTTTGCGGGCATGTTAATATAGAATCCAACGGTTTGCTTTCAGCTAGACAGATTGATCTGTATATAAGTGCGAACCCGATTTTTCCAACCTTAGGTTTTGGAACTTCTCAATTATTAAAATTATTGGAAGCAAGTTTTTGCTCTCTTTCAAAAAAACTTTCGAGAAATTTATTGTCGAATTTTTGCTCCTCCTGAGTTCTTGTGATGGACATCCTCGCCTGTTCAATGCGTTCGTTTAGCTGGAAACAGTGAAAAAAGCTACGCTCCTCTCTCCCCTCCACACCGATTTTTGAATTGATCTCTAACTAATCTAGAACAAGTTATGGACAAGTAGATTACTCCTCGTCGTTTTCGTGCTCCAGAAATTAAGATAATTCCTGCGCGGGTTGTGTGCCACTATATGATCCTGCTGAACATTTTACCGATTTTACGTTGATTTATATCAAACTTAACTAAACCCGTGTGGTAGGACTCTGCAGTAGTATACACTGATTAACTGCATCTCTATCAAAACGGAGTGCCGATACACCTTTCCAATTGTAACAGGTCCCAGTTGTTCCAAGGGTGGACGATGCAGTTCATCGGATAAATCACTATCCAGTGGATACTGAGGTGTTAACACTGAAATTCAACCACACTCTACTGAACAGCGATTTATCCGTTGGATACTGTATCCAACTTTTGGGCACAGTCGGACGCTTGACGAAGATCATCTTACAGTGGACAGTTAAGTCTGCTTTACACCGTGTTCTCTTAGCTAGAAAGGGTTGATTGCACAGAAGACAGAGAATACCTCTAGGTTCTCGATATCAATATTCATACCTCCCTGTACTGTACCGGTCCACCCCCGAGATGATCATCCAATTCTACTGTCTTATAAGCAGCCACACCTTGCTCGTCCTGTCAGAAAGCAGTGTTAACCAAATGAGCAGAGATGTTCTAATGTCTTGGGAAACCTCAATTCAAAGATTTTCACCCAGGTATTCACCGGCAGAAATATTTACAGTTTGGTTTTATCACAGATGAGAGATCTGTATTACACAAATGCTAAGAGAGGATAAAGAGTAAGAGAGTAAATTCTCCATATACGCATAGTCCTCATGGCAATCCCTCTCAAGTTATTTTTAGATATGCGCGGATGATGTTGTCACGTAGGTGATGGAAATGTGTCTAGAGCCGCTTGGGCTGTTCACGTAAGCAAAAGGTGGCTGTTGCAACAATTTCCCGAGTTTTTCGAAACCTGGAGTGTCGAAAAGATTACCTTAGAAATAAGGCCTATATATATGGTGATTAACTCTGTTATGTTTGTTCTCTCTAGCTCTTGACCGATGAATTCTCTCGTGTTTTCAAACTATCCATTCACTAACCACACAAAAAATATTGATAAAAGAAATATATATATAAAAGAAACTACACACAAACAACAAAAATAAAAAAAAGAAAGTACCTGGGAAGTGTTAGTACCAAGCCAGAAATGAATATCCCACTCAAGATGAGATTCAACTTTTCTGGTCTAAAAATAAACAACTGAATAAACAAATAAAAACAAACAAATAGTATAAAATAAGCCATAAAAATCATAGTAGAGGGGTACTAAATTCATATGAACCTCACCGATAGGCAAATATACGAATCTCCTGAGTAAAAGGTGCCATATGTTTTAACGTCTTGAGCGACGACTTTCAATTTCTGTGGGGAAAAAAAAGGCGGCCAAGAACGACTTTGAAGCTAAGACAACCAATTACATTATTAACAAATATTTCTGTTCATTTACAAAGATGAATGCAACCTGCAAGGCGTACGGGTTGAACGGAAATTCACGCCTGCATCTCGCGCTTGTTGTTGGCTGCGCGTGCGAGAGCCTAAGGCAGCGTCCACACTAGGCCGGCGGAATTTTAAAACGTAGTTTACTACGGTTAGGCTTACCGTCCACACTAATCCGTCACGAAAATGGAACTTTTCAAACCGGAGGAATTTGAAAACGCCGGCTTTCTGTTTTAGTGTGGAGGGAAAACATTTTGAAAACGGAGCTTTTCGAAAACTGTGGCGTCGCGATAATCACGTGATTTCCCTGACCGAGTTTTCCTCAAACACAAATTCAAAATGAGCAGTGATTGTTGTGTTTGTAAATTTCTCCGGCGTAGTGTAGACCGAAAAAATTTGATGTGTTTTCAGAGTGAAACTTCCGTTTTCAAATTTCTCCGGCGTAGTACAGTGTGGACGGAGCTTAAGCCATCCAAAGCCACGTACCGAATAACTATGTTAGTCACGAGCTTACACGAGGCGCGGTGGCCTAATGGTAAGCGCGCTGGACTCCGGATTGAGCGGTCCGTGGGCTCAACCTCTCGCCAGGGTCGTTACGATTTGTCAGTTGTCGTACATGTTAACTGTTGGTTTTCATTGGCTCATGAGACCGAGTAGCGTCTGCATTTGTGTATTTCGCAAGAGTGTTTCTAATTAACGCCATTTGTTGGGAAATTTCCCTAACAAAGGGTGCTAGTTATCAATAACTTACTGCGCTGTTTATGTCGGATTATGCTAATGACTCCGCGCTAGTGAAAACCAGCCTTTAAGGGGGTCACACAATGCTATCGGGTTCATTGGTGAATTATTGGAGTAACAGACCGTTGCATAGCTGAGTATAAAAAGTTACATTTAAACGGTCAATTCCACTTTTCTATCACAATACCTGCTCCGCAAAGAAAATGGAAATTATGAGGTTTTCATCACTTGCTGGCAAACTGCCTCAGGTTCTTTAGGGAATTATTGTAGTTGCGGCCTGCTGCCCGAGTAAGAGCTTAACTGTGATAAATAAGCCATCATTTTGACTTTTCTGTCAGAAGTTGTCTCACTTCAAACGCGAAATAGATCTCACTGGCAGATGATATTGCAACCCTCCCTCGCATTTCAGGGTTGCTTTTCTTTTCTCGGCAAAACGCGGGTGCATGCAATTAGCTTACGTTTCTCATAGCTTCACCAAATAGATTCCGTCATTCTTTGAAAATAATCTTAAGGGTGTATCTATCCCATTGCTGTTGAAATTCGAAAACGGTTCTCTTTCATGGGAGGTATAAATATTTTATACGCAAAGGACAATGGAAGCTGGCTGTCGTTGCATCTTTAAGTATAAACAAACGGTTTCAACATTAAAACGCTTTTTCACAATGTTCTGCCAGTACCTGTTGAGCATCCCAAATAAAAGCTAACAAAACAGTTTTTCAAGTTATGCTTTGCACTTGACGACAACACGCTAAAACCTAAGATGTCAATGCATTCAAAAATTTGATCTTGCAACAATTTCCTAGCTTTAATATCAATTCTGTCATCTATACGTTGACTTCGCGTTGCAAGTTATAGGGGGTCCACGTTCAGGACAAAAATGAATGAATGATATTTATTTCCTACGTGTCGCCTTAATTTCTGCCCTCGCTTTCCGCATTCGGCACGCAAAAGAGCGAAATAAAGTATTGTCTAGCTTCACTGTAAATACGTTTTCTTTTTTTAAAATCCACGAAGAGATATCCTTTGCTATGATTACAACCTTGGAGGGAGGTAAAAATAATAATAAATAATAGATTATGCCGGCGTTTCTCAGTTTTATTGCATCGAGTGGATAATGGAAATTATTAATAACTACAGTTACTGCTCGTGAAAGATATGGGCTAGATTGTAATTATGAAATAATATTTGAAAATTAGAAAATCTACGTTATTCCAAATGAGAGCCAATTTTAGGCAAAACTATATTGTTTGCAATTCTCAAAGGTTAAATTAAAATCCATACATTTATATAAGGGATATACCAGACCAAAATTATCTAGAGAGATTATTTTGTTGGCTAAACGATTTTAATGGCAACTGCAATTTGTCTGACTTTACGGGCTAGTTAGGATCGAATGCTGTATTCATATGAGGTGACTCGACAAGGAGGAAACAATGTATTTGCGTATAAAACGATAATACGAGAAGGGTTGCGACTGGGCATGCCATCTGTTGAGCCTTGAACAGGTCGATAAGCCTCACCGACGAAACCGCAGAGGAAACTATTATTTGCTGAGCATTAGCACAATTACAGCCCACTCACCTCAATCCTCCATATTTCCATTCCAGGCTTCTTCCCCGCTTCAAGAAAAGCTTCATCGACTCCCATTGAAGATTCAATTAGTAAAATAAAAACAACGGAAATAACAATAAAAAAGGAATAAAACGAAGACTCTTTGAGACCGTTAGTAGCTTATTGAGACGCGGTGTGAATAAACTAAAACGTCAACTTCCCAGCGAAAACTCTGTGTTTCCCGACGTTTAAATTTGAATATGTCCGTTGTCCAAGCGACAAACACGACATGCAGCTTGTTGCTGACAGAAATTTAAATAGCTGTGTTATTGAAGAGAAGGCAAACGTAATAATTGCGAGGCAGGGATGGCTCTCATTGGAGGCTCTCGTACACGTGTCGCAAATTTTTGGCCGAGCTTAACTCTTTTGTTTTGGTATAAATTACTTAAGACGGCTCATGTTTATGTACATTTTTTATTGTTATCTTAAAGCGCGTTTAAGCTTCAATTTGCGAACGGAAATTAGCGTTTAAAAAATGTATTTAGAGTCGGTTTACTAGCGTTACTTCATGAAGGACTTAAACGCGCGCGAAGGACGGCCTCTTTGTGAGAAGAAATTTTCATTGCTGGCATTTAATTAGATAATAGAATATTCATAAAATCGTTAAATTTAAATTCGCGCTGATGCCCGTCACCAGTACATTCGAGAATGAAAATTTAAATACTTCACGATTATTCTCTGGCAATAAATTTAAATGCCTTTGTTTACTTACTCACGTCAGGCATCGCAAAAAAAGGCGACGGACAGTTTTAATTACAACAAAGTAGTCCTAGCACTTAATTTACAATTATGGCTTTCGAAGGACATGCTGTTTTGTGTTTTGTTTTTCCATATTGCTCTTTCCTGTTCGATACATCATAAATTAATTTTAATTGGTACTGTTTGAGCCCTCAGTTGGTGTAAAAATGTATAAATTATTAATTGCATGATCGCTTTCCAACTGTATGCTCTCAATAAACGCCACACGTAGGTCGAAAAACGAAGGAAATTTTCTTACGTTTTCACGACCTGAATTTTTATCGAAATGTCTCAAATCATCGTCGTGGCATAACTTTATATAATGAAGAGAGTCTTTCGCGTGTGACAGATTTGAACAAGTCTATAATGCAATGCCAAGACCGCTGACAGGTAGCTATATAACATGAATAGGGCAGAGTTTCGCGGGATTATGGACGCATGTCAATCATGATCTACTTTAATTAGAGTGAGAAGACTGGTGACGAGATTATGATTTCTAAGGGAAAATTGGAAGCATCACCGGCAAAGAAAATCAAAATTGAACGAAAATAAATATAAATTAAAAGAAAATAAGGTAAAGTAAAAATAATATGAAACAAAACAAAACGGGACGTGAACGGGACTTCAATCCTTTACAGCGCCCTTATGGTCA